ATAACTGAGTATCATCAGCATAAAAATGGAAATTTATCCCATGCTGTTAAATAACTTTACCTAAAGGAAGCATATACAAAGTAAAGAGGATTGGTCCAAGCWYTGAAYMCTGAGGAACTCCATGACYAACTCTGGTGTAAGAAAAAGATTCATTATTAACATTAACAAACTGAAATCTATCAGTTAAATAAGACTCAAACCATTTTAGAGCTGTTCCTGTAATCCCAATATCAAGTTCAAGTCTACGTAATAAAATACTGTGATCAATTGTATCTAAATGTTACCCTGTGTTTAAATGATAGTTTTACATTTCTCTGTTCAGGATGGATGAAGTGTTTTAATCTTTTTTTCCTTTCCTTTTTTTCCCAACTAGCAACCTAATAGTTTCCTGTTTTGTTATATTTTATAAATATGCCCAAGTTTAATGTGTGAGAAATCCATAATTTTCTGTTTATTCAGTCTGTGTTTAACACAGCTGGCACAGTAAATTGTGTAAAATATAATACTGTACTTTTTTTTAGTGTGTAAAGAAGTTAGCCATTCATGTCATAGAAAGACCCTTGATTCATGAGAAATGTCAGTTTTTTAGGAAAAGGGCCACTTGTCAATTAATCGTTAGTCGATCGATAAGATCAATCAACTTTACATTAATCCATTAATCGATAACTTGCATCCCTAACTGGAACTGTATTTAGTCGAAGATTTAAACTAGTGCTGGACACGTTAACACGTTATCACTTTAATGCAGCCAGCACTTAACAGCAATCATTTTTGAAACGCGTGTTAACACACTTATTAATTTCTTTATTTCTCCATCGGATCTCTGTTCACTTGGCAGCTAACACACACACACACACACACACACACACACACACACACACACACACACACACACACACACACACACACACACACACACACACCCTGTGGTTACATCAGGGAGGTGGGATCTTGATCACTATTGGCTTTAGGTGGCGTTCGCCGTGCGTCTCATCCAATGAGAGCCTTAGTTGTCGAGCCGCTGTGTGGCAACTCTCAGCTGCGCTCATGTATCCAGTCGAGCTGCTGCCGGGGCAGAAACATGGCAGAAGTCACCAGATTCTTCAGGACATTTTTTATTTTAAAACCTTTCCCGACGGCGGGCTTAAAAGAATTAAAGTTCTCTGTAAGCGCTGCAACGCTAAACCGTCTCACCACCGGAGCAGTTTGAGCCTGAAATATCACTGCAGGTTAAAGCCAGACGAGGCTGACCAATGTGTTGGATAAAAACAAAAAAGTAAAACGTAAGATCAGTTTGCTTTGCCTTATTTGTTTAAAGTTTTTGAAAATGCATTGCCCCTGTTTTAAAATAAAACAGGACCTGAAAATGCTCTTAACATCTTTGAGTCAGTTAAATTTTGTGCAAAATAATCAAGAATTCAATGATTTTTTGTTTTTTATTCCAAATGATTACTATATGAGGAATGAAAGATAGATGCTAAGATCGCAGTTGTCAGCAAAAAAGAAATAAATAAATACAATAAGCCATAAGAAGATAAAAAGAAAAAAAAAACTGTACTTAGTGTATCACACATGTGGACACAACATACAAACCTACACATTCAGCCGTAGAGTGATCGTTTCTAAAAAAAAAATCGTGATTAATCACAAAAATATCTTGAGACTAATAGGGATAAAAAAATTTAGTCTATGCCCAGCACTAATTTAAACATGTTATAAGGTATAAATTACAACATAAAAAAGCAAGTTGCATTTAAGCTGTTGTAATGCTGGGCAGCTTGTGTTTAATTATTTGCACATAAGCTAAAACTCTAAACATTTCTGTACAGAAATATTTTATGGGTAATATATGATTTTAGTAGATTGAAGATACTGATGAGTCTACATTATAGGACTATGACAAAGTAAGTGATAGTGAATAAATGATCATTTTTAAACACAGCCATTGTTTGTTTGGTTTCCTGCAAGGGCTGTATTTGTGATGTTCTTAATTTACTGAAACTTTTTTATTTTGTTGCAGTTCTTGTGTGTATCAAGTGAGCAAGAGTTCCTCCAGATGACCAAGGAGCAGTTGGTCAGCATTTTGAACAGCGATGACCTAAATGTGGAGAAGGAAGAGCACGTCTATGAGAGTATAGTCCGCTGGCTTGAGCATGATCGACTTGGCCGTGAAGCCAGCCTCGCCGAGGTTTTTTCTCAGTGCATTCGTCTGCCCCTGTTGGACGAGGCCTTTCTCAGTCGGATACCCGCCCCCTTCGCCTGTGCCCTGTCCCTTTCCAAAGACCCCGCTGAGGCCAAAGCTCGCCTCACCGGCACAAACGGCTGTCCACAGCGCCTGGGCATGACCGCTTCTGAGATGGTGATCTGCTTTGACGCTGCTCATAAACACTCAGGTAAGAAGCAGACGGTGCCTTGCCTGGACACGGCCACAGGACGAGTATTCAAGCTCTGCAAGCCACCTAATGACCTCCGAGAGGTCGGCATCCTGGTGTCGTCTGAGAACGACATCTACATCGCCGGCGGCTACCGACCAAGCAACAGTGAGGTGTGCATTGACCATCGAGCAGAGAGTGACTTCTGGCAGTATGAGCATGCCGGCAACCGATGGCTTCCTCGTGCACCTCTGCTGAGAGCAAGAATAGGATGCAGACTTGTGCACTGTTGTGGGAAGCTTTATGCACTAGGAGGTCGAGTTTATGAAGGGGACGGACGAAACGCTTTAAAATCAGTAGAGTGTTATGATGCCAGGGACAACTGTTGGACAGCAGTCAGTCCTATGCCAGTGGCCATGGAGTTCCATAGTGCTTTGGAGTATAAAGACCGCATCTATGTTCTCCAGGGTAAGTTTATTCTGTAAGATAAAAGCTATGAAATTTTTCTGCTCATTAGTTCCAARTTAAGGATTTTCTTCTTTATTTTCCCTCTGCAGGTGAATATTTTTTCTGCTATGATCCCCGCAAAGACTATTGGAGTCATCTAGCCCCGATGAGCGTCCCTCGGAGTCAAGGTCTGGCTGCCTTGTATAAAAACTGCCTCTACTACATTGCTGGCATCTGCAGGAACCACCAGCGCACCTTTACCGTGGAGGTCTACGACATTGAGAGGAACACGTGGAGCCGGAAGAGAGATCTGCCCTTCGATCAAGCCACGAGCCCATACATCAAGGCCATGCTGCTGCAGGGCAAGCTGCACCTGTTCGTCCGTGCCACGCAGGTAATGGTGGAGGAGCACGTGTTTCGCACCAGCCGGAAGAACTCCCTTTACCAGTACGATGACGAGGTGGACGTGTGGACCAAAGTCTACGAGACGCCCGATCGTCTCTGGGATTTGGGTCGCCATTTTGAATGTGTGGTGGCCAAACTTTACCCACAGTGTCTACAGAAAGTGCTTTGAGCAAAGGGATTTTGTGAACTCAATCTGTTCGGTGGAAGAGGAGCCGCTGGTTCTGCCCACCTCGTGCCTGGTGTTACCTTGAGTTTGCGTAATACTGACCATTTTTCGTTGAGTCTTAAGTTGTTTCAACTTTGGTTTAAAAAAAATGATTGAAATGGGGGTGCTTTGAAAGGTTGCAGTATTTTTATTTTATTTTTTTCTAGACGGCACCAACTATCCACACTGAAGCGTGTTTAACAGAACCGTACAACAAATCATAAGTGCAATTATCCTGTTTTTGCTTGTTGTTGAGCCATGTTGTTCAGTTTTATGTTTGAAATGCATAAAATAGAACAGATTTTTTTATGTTCTTTTATTTTTTTTTCCCATCGATGTCAGGCAGAGGGTGAAGGCAAGTTAAAAACACCCTCTAGAGATATGGATACTATGTGTCATCGATAAGTGAAATTCTCTCTATATAAATAACTATATAAACTATATATTCATACGGGTAAGATGAGTACCATAACTCATTAGTAGATTGCTAGCTCTAAGGTTTGTTCTTTTTATTTTTTTATTTTGTGTTCATGCCTCCCTTCAGCATATTTTATAGACAATTTTTAATATGAAAGTGTGCTTTTTGTATTTACATTATCTTAGTGCATGTATGTTTATGGCCCCATCTTCCTTCACAAGCGTCAGTGTGTAAAACTGCACACAAGATGTGGTATGAAGGCAAACTAAGGTTTGTTTTGTGATTCCAGATCAGTGGGGCTCACACCTCCCCCACCTTCCTTGAGTTGGCATTCATTTTTGTGTCATATGCAAAGATAATTTAAGTGTAATCTTAGAAATATTCACTCTCCACATTGGAGAAAAAAAAAGGACGGAGTCAAACTAGTGCTAACACTAAGTGGCAAGTTCAGACCAACTAACAGGTTTACCTCAGAAACTTCACATATATTATTGGAGTAAAGGGACGTTTAAGGCCATGGTATTGATAAGGCAACTGTATAGAAACCTCAGTTCATTATTGAGATTGGTTTTTGGCATCGGACTATGATAATTTGAGAAAACGTTTGATAAAATGCCAAAAAAAAGCTTTTTGAGGTCTTGTTATAGTTGTTGTGGACTTTGAAACTAATGTTGTGGTAGCAATAAATCAAGGAACTGTGATTAGGCTATAATAGTAAAAGTGCATTAATGTTGTTTGCTTGTCTCTGCTTAGTGGGGGAAAATGGTAGTGCCAGCAATGATTGTTTGGTTGTTGCATGGGTGCAGGCTTGGATTGATGTGTAATTCAGTGTAGATTTTGTGTGATGCCAATGTGCCTGTGGCTAAAAAAAAAAACAACGGGAGGGGAGGGGTACATCATAATCATAAACTGCATCTCCTGATGATAAACATCTGAAATGTCAGCTCTGCACTGCACTGAATCTTTATCCACTTCAGCAGTTCTTAACTTAAGTTTTACCAAGCACCCTCTCCAGCAAGACCCACAAGAGGGTCGAGGTTTTGTGGCGTTTCCATCCAACAGCCGTACATTTCTTTTCACACCATCTACATGGACACAAAACTTTTGGTGCTGCTTTATTTTTTTTTAATTTGTTTTTTTTTTCTTCGACAATCTTGTGTAAAAGACATTTTTGTGATATACATTGCGATATTTTTCAGTGCATTGTTCCCTCATGCAGGTTCCTGTGTCACCTTTGCACTGCACGTTCCCATTGTATCTCCACAGAGTGCCCCTCTTTTTCATGGAAAAAAAATGGTTTCAGTAAACGTATAGCATCAAAAAGGTTTACATGGAAATAAATACCTGAAGAGTCACTTCCAGYAAGGACTTGAGGATATAATTTACTTCTCCAAGAGAAGATCAACTGTTGAAAGACTTAAAGCTGATTTTAATCAACACGGCTTGAACAGTACCCTCTCCCCAAACTATGCTCGTCTCGAGTGTCTGCTTCATCAACATGGCTACAGACCAGGAACGAAGAACTCTCAGGATTTCTATTGATACAGTACTGTATTTAAATTTTTGTTGTGTAATACTGTACTATAGGTTTTGCTGTACTTGCACAGTTTTCTAAACTTATATTCAGTTTCTTTTATAACTTGAAAAAACAATAGATGTGATTCCCCTTTGTTGTCTCAGTGGCTTTTTTTTTCCTTTTTCTTTTTGTGATTATTTAGTTTTTTGATAGAGTAACTAACTCTAATGAGTGGGGGAATAAGATTACCTGCACGAGTGATAATTTAGATTTTTTTYCCCTCTTTCTGTAGTACATTAGTTTTTCTAACATCTCACTGAAACTAATTCCAGCAAACATGCTTTTAACACCAGTCATGTCACGCATCAAGCTGAAACAAAYGGCCCTGTTCTGGTTCTATGTTTTTATGCATTGCTCATGGGTGCTATTCCATCGCATCAGTTTCTTTCTTCAGTTTTTATTTTAGTGGTTTTGTCTGTTTTGGGTTTCAGGTTATAAGTGGTTGAGCTCAACTGTGAACTTCACATTGCACATAACTGAAAATAAATACAAAAAAAAAAAGGTTTGGATTTTGTCGATTTTTTTTTTTGGTTTGAGTTTTAACTTTAGATAGTCATCTTGAGTGCATTGATTAGTATGTGTTTTGTAACTGTGGTCCAACCACAGGCTGTAAGTCTGACCTTTAGGCTCAAATATGAGACAAAGTCTCACTTGAGCTGATGAAGACTCCAGAGGAAGCCCTCTGGTTGTACAGTCAGACATGTGACCAGGCGTCAAATAAAGAAACTGGCTGCAGGAACTTGGGTTTCTAACTCCTGAGCTCTCACAGACCCCACAGGCTCTCGCTTAAAGGTAAGGTTAATGCAGACTGGAGGGAAAAGTCAGCTCTTTGTACACAGGGGAGCTGCTGCAGGCTTTTCTGCCATGCCCGTTGTTTTCCTGAAGACTTTCAGTATTTGCCCACGTGTTGAGCTTTTTCCTGTCTGACTCAATGTGGTCGACTTTAAAGAAGTTATCCGCGCTGCAGACCTGTGAGTTTTTTTGGGCGTTAGCTGCGACTCAAACAGCAGCTGGACTTGTAGCTTCTTCACGGTAGTTGAAGCCGTAAAAATGACGTAACTTCTGATGCTCTTTAGCCTGCCTGACAGCTGAGCTCCGCTGCGAGAACACGTTGTTTTATTTCCTTTGTGTCGACCTTTGAAGGCGAGCGGGTTGTCAGATAGTGTCTGTACTTTGTAAAAACTTCATCAAACTCCAGTATTACGAGCTAATTCAGTCATTTCCACACGTTTCTGCAGCTATTTGTTGTTTTCTTCAGCGAAGTTAGAAATGTTAGTAGCCTAAATGCGTATACATTCTCCCATTTGAGGTTTAGACACATTTGGACTGCATCTTTTTTTTTTAAATTAAAAATAGCCTTAAAGGACTATGCAGCCCGCTGCCTTTCATTTCAAGTTAATATGTTTTGAGCATGACTCTCAGCTACTACCACCACATTTTAGCTCAGTGTCCACAAAATTATCTGGGTCATATATAGCCACTTTCCTGGTTTAAAATAGTTTTTAGTTGTGGCCATTTTGAATGGTTTTGGCAAACTCGGTTAATTAGTTGCAGCTGTGTTCATCCAGTCATTTTTTTTATTATTATTTCTGGGGGTTTTAATCAAATCASTGCACTGGTCCATGAACTATTTAGCTATTTCTACAAACACAAACACACACAGGCAAAAACATGTCTCCTACAACAGCTGTCAACAATGCTTCATTGTTGGTTCATGCATTAAAATAATGCAGTATTGTTCAACTCTGGCCTCAGGGGCCACTGTCCTTCATGTTTTAGTTGTTTCCTGCTCTTCAGCAGGTCTTCAAGTTCAAGTTGCTTGTTCATCACTAATTTGTTCAAATCACATGCTTTAAAGCGGCTAAATCKCTAAAACAGAGCTTTTCAATTGACAGCCCGCGGGCCACTTCCAGCCCGCCTGTGACCAGGGAGACTGGGGCAAAAAAAAAAGTGGCCCGRGAATTTAGTACTCGACTGGCCCATTCAAGGTCCGGACTGGCAGATGATGTCTGCAAATGCTGGAGGCAGATGATGGAGGCGGAAACAACAAACGTCATCTCAGGGCACTGTACTAAATCTAAGGATGTAACGTTGAAGAATTAGTAAAGTTATTAAGATAGCAGAGCAGCAGTTAGCTCACAGGCATTGACCCTCAGAGGGCTGCCACAAACGATTATTTTTATAATCGATTAATCACCGATTATTTTTTCGATTAGTCGACTAATCGGATCACACATTAATTGAATATAAAACATACAGCTTATCRTGCCAGACTGCAGCTGCTATTATATAACCATGGTTAGATTTTAGCTATATGCTAACTAAAAATAATTGCCGTGGAAGGCAAGTTCTGCCTTACAGATATTACACAGGTTTCTCTTTCATTTTCTTAAAATGATCCCACACTTTTGAGCTCCGTTGCCAGGTAGCCATGATACCAGAGCCTGTCTGTATAATGTCTTGTGACGTCCACGGCCTACCGCAGTTACCACTACTGTGCATGTGTGTCAAGGACAGAAAGGCAGATGTGGCAGTGGAAGGTGTCAAAGCAGTTTGGAGAGAAAAACAAAGTGAAAAAAAGGAAAACGATTAATCGATTATTAAATTAGTCATCGATTATTTTAATAATCGATTAGTCGTCGATTAATCGTTGCAGCCCTAGTTCCAAATGATCATTTTTGACTCGTTTTGATTTTACCCCCCAAAAATAACATTATTAAAATCAAATGTGGTATCATTTTCTTTTTCCAGCACATGAACTGTGTGAATTTAAACTATATTTTTTTTCATTTGAATATGCTGTTATTATATATTAGACCTTAATTCACTAAATAAATACAAATAAAATAAAATTCCAAGTGGGCAAAGTTATTTGTGAAACCCACAAACATTTATGATGTTTATCTTTTAGAATGCCAATGTATGATGTAAATTTCTAAAACTGATGTTAAAACATTTTAAGCAATAGTTTTATAAAATTATCAGCTACTGAGCATAGTTTGGACCTAGTTCACCCATGATAATGGCTTAATTTATTTAAYAGCTAAATGCATTGCTTTAAAAGTTAGCAAACTAGAAACAAATACAGCCACCTACATGACTACCATCCTCCTCCTGGTCACTTAAAGTGAGGATGATGATGATGATGCACCAGCAGAAAATAAACACCAGTTTCTGACACTTGGCTGAATTTGCTTGTAGATGCTTTTTCTTTTCTCTCTATTTTTGTTCTCCTCCTTTACGTTTATTCTCCATTTTTGCTCTTCTTATTTTTATTATTCGTTTTCCTCCTCTTACTCATTCGTCAGCAAACATTGCTTCTTCGGTCTGTTTTTGTGGTTGGTAAACAATGAATTGGTGCATTATTGCCATCTACTGGTATTGAGCGCAACTACACAACTTTTCTCTCTCTCTCTCTGATTGGTTGATGCAGGGAGTTGAGCAGCAAAAGTTCGATTTTTTTTAACTCGAGCGTCGGCTGTTTTGGACGCACCACACACACGAAAAATGCTCTACCACACCTACAGCTACCTTGCGCGCCGCGCTAAACGGGCTAAACACACTGCCCCTRGATGCATGTCCACCATAGAATTAGCATGTAAACTGGCTGCTTCGGCTGCTCAAAACGYGTCCSGTGTGTACCCAGCTTTAGTGGTTCCCAAGGACTCAATTGTGGGTTGTGAAACATAAGTGGAGGGTCTTAAGAAGACTCAACTTTTCCAAAGAGACAAAACCCGTAGTTGTAATTTTATATGTATAATAATGTGTAACAGTGTTTGTGTTCTTTGACTAGCAGTAGTCAGAGTCATGAGTGGAAGACTCTGGGGTGGTTCGGATTCAGGAGACAGACATCTCTCAAAGTTAGGATAAAATAAAATGCTTTATTAACAAAATAAAAGGCTGGCGAGGCAACAAACATACAACAGGGGATCATGAGGAGACATGGAGGAATGTGAGGTAATAAGCCAGAGAGTAAGTGGAGAATGGAGATTGGTAAAATAAAGGAGGGGGTAAGTGGAAAGCACTGGYGGATGCTGGTCTTTCAAGGAGGGAAAGCTCAATTTCATCCCACGTCATAAAATCATAAAACTGTCTGCCATTATGTGCAGCTTGCTATTGTGAAGTGTGCACACCTGTGAGTGCTTTGTGATGGTGGAGGGGCTCAGCAGCACCCGCTGGACAGAAACTGTGATAGAAGTCAGAAAGAGTGATAGAAGTCAGTCTCCAAACAAAAGCCGCTACAAAAACAAAACAAACAAACAAACAAAAAAAACCACCAGAAATAAAAGCTTGATTTGTCGCTTGTCGTTTTTATCAAAGAAAATGCCTCTAAGAGGATTAGAAAGTCTCTGGTTCAACTCGGAACAGAATGAAAATTTAAAAATGCTCCCACAGATGTTTACACCAAAAGATTGCTGATTCGCTCATTTCGCTGTCAATCAAAAAGGGATTCAACCTCTGACAGATCATCCAATCATCATGCAGTAGCTGAGCATCTGGACCAGCCGAGGCCAGCCCACTGCCCCATAGACCCGCAGAGACGCTGAGCGTCCAATGGGCGGGACAAAGCCCAGCATTTATCCAATGACTTGTCTCGTTTCACTGCACTCTTTGCTAGTGATGTTTGATGCTGCCAATTTTCTATTCTTTCAGTTTTTTGTCACTTCAGTAGAAAAAAGAACTTAATATTAGTTTCTTAATTTCTCCATCATCAGTGACTTTGTTTTTATAGAGAGAGGAAAGGGAAAAAAAGGGGGAAATGTAATTGGAAAGATTTAAAGAGAGATTAGAAAATATATTAAATATTAGGGGTGCACCAAAAAGTCATTTTACATCAGAATAGTGATTCTCATTTACAAAGATTCAGAATCGATTTAAAATGTCCCAACATCAATTTTTTTATAAATAAAAAAATAAAGCAAATCCAATGGCTGTCAGCCTTCATTTTCTAACTACGTGGGACGTCCCTGACATCATCTTGCAGCTGGTTCTGGAACATGTGAGTGTGCAGAAAGCACTAAAACAGAGACAAAACTACAGAACCGGAGGAAAGAGAGATTCAACTGGACCTGTTTTTATTGAATGCAAAGATTTGGGTTCATTTAGTTTTTTACTGAATGAGTCTGAGTTTGACATGCGCGAGGTGTGCAAGGTTTGCAACATGAAGAAGAAACGCTTTGGGAACAGAATGAAAAATCGATTTTGAATCAAATCATGGCCCCAAAAATCAGAATTGAATCAAATAGTGAGAGAGTGAAAGATTCTCACCCCTATTAAATATACACCAAGAAAACACAATGCAACACACCTGACATCTGCCTGCTCACCTGAAAATAAATGGATGTAAGAAAACATAGCAACAAAATACATATCTATGTAATAATAAAATTTATTATATTTTTTCTGTAAAGCATATATATATATATATATATATA